AAAAAAAAAAAAAAAAAAAAGAAATATCTCTTACTTCTTTTTTCCCCAAACTTACCAACACTGTCCCACTACAGTGCCTCATTATTTCATCTGGTTTCCTTTTGTCTTTATCCTTGAGTTTGCTGCTAGAATTATCTTCCTGAAAACTCAAAGTTGGACATATTATTCTATATTCGAAAGCTTTAACGCTTTCTCATGTCAGTGGAATAAATTCCTAACTCCTTCACATTTTCCTTGAGGCCCTTGCCTCATGGCCTTGACCCCAGCCAACCAAGCACTGCTGCCCACTGTATGACATTATCATCAGGTACAAGATCTAGTCTCATCACTAGACTACTGGCTATTATATAATGGATAACTATGTTTCCGACTTCAATGCATTTGCTTCTGAGGAGACTTCACTCAGAAATGGTCCTCTGTTCATTACTAACGTCTATCCCCCATCTACCTATCATGCCATGTTAAAAACTGGCCTCATTCTAAAGACTGTATCTCACAGGGTTATCTAACCTCTTGTATATAACCACCATCTCCTTCAGGTCTTATTAATATATTCTTAATACCATAAAATATTTATTAATTTCTACCTTATACTTATGTTATATCTTACATTACAGCTATCTGTATACATTTGTCAGTGCCTCTAGTTGTAAGCTGATTGATAGTAGGGATCATCTCTTCCACATTTTAATTTTCATAATGTGACTACCTTTTCTTGACACCATACCCCTCTACAAAAAAAAAAAAAAGAGAGAGAATCAAGACCCATGGGCTGACAAAAGATCTTGAGCTAGTTCCAAATGTGACTCATAGATGAACAAAGATATCACTTCTTCCTAAATTAACACAAATATAAGTAAATGCCAATTTAAGAAAATTTTATTTCAAAGACTAAATATATAACTAAAAAAAATTTCTAATAATGTCCCTTTCTCTACCAGATATTAAAACATAATATATTAACTTAAATGGTATACAGGTATTGATCGACTTACGACCTATGCAACTTATGACCATTCCACTTTACGACCACAATCGCTAGCCACGACTGCTCCGCGTCTGGCAGTGCAAACGTTGCCCAGCTGGGTGTACGACAGTGCGGACCAGCTTCCGGCAGCACTACCATCTCCGCATGCATATAGCCTACTTAACTTATGACCAAATCGTGCCGGTCTGTCGGACCCAATCGTGGTCGTAAGTCGAGCACTAGCTGTAATCAAAATCACAACACCTTCGAAAACTGACAGTATACACTAAAATATATACATACCCTATGACTTAAAAATTTCACTCCTAAGTATACATCAAACAGAAATAAGCACATATATTCACAAGACGACAATCACTGAAGTGTTGAGAGCAGCAGCAATATTCTTAACAGTTCCAAACCAAAAATGACTAAATGTCCATCGACAGATTAAACTGTAGTATATTCTTAAAATGGAATACTATAAAATGACTATCATAAACAATCAATTATTACAACCAACAATCTGGATAAATCTCACAAATACATTAAAGGAAATCAGACACAACTGAATGTGCTTGATTCTAGTGAGATAAAAGATGAAAACAGGCAAATCTAATCTATGCTATGAGAAGTCAGGACAGTGGTTTACACATGGAAGGGGTAGTAACACAGCACTAGGGGCTACAGAAAAGCTACTGATGTTGTTTCTTGATCTAAATGCTACCTAAACATATGTACTCAGTGTGTGAAAGTGCAACAAGCTATACACTTAGAAGTGCACTCTTCTGTATGTATATTTAAAAGATTCTCCTTAAAAAAATAAAAATAAAAACTTGATATGGTATTAGCATTAAACAGGTAAGCACGACAGAAAGTTAAGTCCAGAGAAATTTCCAAAAATCTGACAGTTGCTTCTTCTCAAACAATTTTCAGACCCTGGATAATAGGCAGCACAAGACTATAATCCATGAAAGGACAAAAACAAAGGAGGTAAGCCATCCACTGCTTGGATGTCTGTCTGGAGGTAATTTCCAACCTGCAGTCAGTGAAGTGGGTAAAATTTATAAGACAAATGCCAGACAAGAGGGGTGCTTGTCTGACGGGGCAGAGAAAAGCCTTCAGAAATCTATTTGGGAGTCTAATGGCAATGGGAGTCTAATGCTATGTACTAACTGTACATAAGTAAGGTAAGTGACTCCATGAAGGTAGGGAAAGAGAAGCAATGAGCTGCAGTATTCCCAAAACTTATAAAGATCTGGAAGACTGCTAAATTCCCTGTAACCTGAGTGAAGAGAACACGGTGACACTGGGAGCATTAATAAAGACTCGGAAGGATCATGCCTTAAGTAGGAGCTACTACCATTAAAGCAAAGCCTTCTCTAGACAAACTCCACTGAAGCCCTGAAGGAATAAAACTTACCCGCAAATTATTTAGCTGGCTTCAAAACAAAACACTATAAAAGGAAACAAAAGCTAGTCACTCAACAACAAAATATTACAACGTCCAACAACCAATTTTTAAAAATCATTAAATATGTTAAAAAAAAAAAAGGGAAAACACAACCCACAAGCAAGAGAAAAATCAACAAACAATTTCAGAAGTAAAAAAATTCATGGAATCAATAAGTAAAATTTTCAAATAGCTATTACAAATGTGCTCAAGAATTCAAAAAATACATGAATAAAGATGAAAATTAATCAAATGGAACTTCTAGAAATACAAAGCAAAAAAGCTGAAATTATTTAACATGGCAGGAGGAAAAACAGTATAACAGAAGACAAAACCACCTGAAGCACACAGAAATAAAACGACCGAAAAATAACAAATATGATGTTAATGACCTGTGGAAAACACCAAATGGTCTAACATATGTGTAACTGGAGTCCCAGAAAAAGAGGAAATGGTGTAAGAGTAGAGGTGATTAAAAATATATATATAGAAGAAATAATGACAACAATCTTCCAAAGTTAAGGAAAACCATAACATAAATATACAAATTCAAAAGGGCAAAAAAACCCCAAAAAACAACAAACCTGAAGAACCCTCAGCATGGTAATCATGAAAAATGAAAAGTGACAAGGAAAAAATCTTAAAAGTAGCCAGGGAAAAAAGACTTAGCATAAGGAAGAAAAGATAAGTAGTGTTATGCATTCTTAGCATTAGCAACAGGAATACATTCTGAGAAATGTTATCATTAGGCGGCATCATTAGGTGATTCTGTCATTGTGCAAACATCATAGAATGTACTTACACAAATCTAGACAGTACAGCTTACTACAGACCTAGGGTATATGGTATAGCCCAGGTGCTCCTAGGTTATAAACCTGTACAGAATGTTATTGTACTGAATTCTGTAGATAACTGTAACACAGTGAAGTATATGTCTAAACCTAGAAAAGGTACAGTGAAAATACAGTGGTATAATCTTAAGTGACTACTGTAATCTGTGATCTCTTGTTGAATGAAATGTCATTATGTGGCACATGACTGTATAGCCAGACTTCTAATCAAAACAAATGCTAAAATTTGTTTTTTAAAAAGAAAAAATTTAACCAAGAGAAAAGAAACATATATGTCCATATAGAGACTATTTTCACACAAATGGTCATTGTACCTTTATTTATAATAGCAAGGAACTGAAAACAGCCCAGGTGTCCCTTAATAGATGAAGTCACAAACCACTGAAACATGCAACAATATGGATGAATCTCAAAAACATTATGCTGAGTAAAAAGAAAGCTTTTTACTACATGTAAGTATTGTACTACTCTACTTACACGAAGTTCTAAGAAAGCTAAAGTAAGATGAAAACAATCTGAACAATGATAGGTTCTGGAGGTGGTGCAGAGGGGAGGAATAAATAGGAAAAGGTGTAAGTTCTATACCCTGATAGGAATTTCTGGCAAAGGTGTATACATTTGTCACAGATCATGAAATGGTATATGTGGTCAACTGTATTTTACAAAGACGTCACAACAGAAACCATTCCACATGCTCTTCTTAACAATGTAACATTGTCATTTTTTTCCATCAGGTGGTGGAGTCTATGGCCCTTCTGCTTGAATCTTGAGTGAAATCTGTGACTCTTTCAATCCAAAGACTACAGTAATACCACAACTATCTACAGAGGACTGGTTCCAGGACTCCCATGGATACCAAAATCCAAGGATGCTTCGAGTCCCTTACATAAAATGGCACAGTATTCGCCTATAACCTACATGCATCTTCAAATATGTTAAACCATCTCTAGCCTACTTAATAGTACCAAATACAATGTAAATGCTACATAAACAGTTGTTATAATGTATTGCCAAAGACAAGCTCTCCTTGCCAATCCCTGACCAAACAAGAGATTCATGAGCAAAATAAATCATTGCTAATATTTAAGTCACTAAGTTTGGGGCAATTTATTTCACAGCAATAAATAACTGGAATAGCACAGTAAATTCTAGTTAAAAATACTAAACTACTAAGTTTTAGTATATATATATGCTGAAGTTAAGGGCGTGGTACACTAACATCTGCAACTTACTTTGAAAAGCATAAAAGATGACACTAGAAGAGAAGATGGATAAATAGACAAGATAGAAGACAGAAACAAATATAACAAAATCTTAATTGTGAAATTACATTCTACAATTATTTTAAAGCCTGTGTGATTTGAAAAATTTTACAATAAAATGTTGAGTGAAATAAAGACATTTCCATACAAATAAAAGCTGAAAGATTTTGCAGCCAGTAGACCCACACTTCAGAAATGTTTAAGAAATTTTTTCAAGTAGAAGGAAAATAACACCAACAAGAAACTTGGATCTCCACAAAGGAAAAGAAATGAAAATGGTAAATATGAGGGTAAATATAAAGGAGTGTTATTGTTAAGTTTCTTTGTAAGACAACTGGCCTTTGAAATAGTTTCAAACTCTACTGTGAAATCTATAACACATATAGAAATAAAATAAATATAAGATTACAACACCAAAAACAGTAAATGGATGTATACTATTCTAAAGTTCTTATACATTAAGAGAAATAATATTTTTAAAGGTAGACTGAGGTAAGTTAAAGGTGCATATTATAATTCCTAGAACTACCACTGGGAAGAAAAACAGAGGGACAAGCTAAAAAAATGGAGACAATGCAATATTCCAAACAAATGTTCATTAACCAAAAAGAAAGCAGAAAATGAGGAAAAGATTAGACAAATAGAAAACAAATAGTTTCTTAAACACAACTCTATTGCCAACTGCAATAAATGTAAATAAGACTTAGACAATCAAATTAAAAACCAAAGATCGTAAAAATCAGTCTGAAAACAAGATGCAACTAAAAGAAAGACATTAAATGATCAATAAGTTGAAAATAAAAAGACAGCAAAAAGATATAATATACAAAAATTAATCATAAGGAGTGGATACACTAATACCAAAATAGACTTTAGATAAGCAACATTACCAGAGATAAACAGAGACATTTCATAATGATAAAGGCATCAATTAACCAAGAATGCCTAACAGTCCTAAATGTGAACACACCTAATGAGACGAGACAACTTCACAGATTTTGCTTCAAAGCATATGAAACAAAAATAGAACAGAAGGAAGATAAACTCAAAATTATAGTTGAAGATTTCAACATTCCTCTCTTGGTAATTAATAAGTGGACAGAAAAATCAGTAAAGATGCAGAAGAAATAAATTTATCTGACAAAGAACATACATTCTGAAAAGAATGTGCAAAATACTGAACACACAAAAGAAAACTTCTCAATGGTAGTCATGAAGAAAATGTAATTAAAACCATAATGACTTTTCACACCCATTAGAAAAGCAATTATTTTAAATAAAAAAACAAACTACCAAGTGTTAGCAAAGATGTGGAGAAATTGGAACCCTATTTACTGCCAGTGAGAATGTAAAATGGTGCAGTCACTGTGGAAAACAGTATGGCATGACTCAGCAACTCCATTCCTAAGTACATAACCAAAAGAATTAAAAGCAAGGACTCAAACAGATATTTATACACCAATGTTCATAGCAGCATCATTCACATAGTTAAAAGGTTCAAACAGCCCAAATGTCACCGACAAATAAATTTTAAAAAGTGATATATGTACACAGTGAAATATTATTCAACCTTAAAGAATCAAATTTGGATACATGCCACAACATGAATGAACTTGGAAGACTGATATGGTTTGAATTTTTGTCTTGCCCAAATCTCATGTTAAAATATAATCTCCAATGTTGGGGGTGGGGCCTGGTGGGAGGTAACTGGGTCATGGGAGCAATCCCTCATAGCCTGGTGCTGTCCTTGGGATAGAGAGTGAGTTCTCATGAGATCTGGTTGTTTAAAAAGATGTGCCACTTTCCCACCCTCTCTCTTGTTCCTGCTCTCGCCATATGACATGCCTGCTCCCCCTCTGCCTTCCACCATGAGTAAACTCACCACGAGAGCGCCCCAGAAGCTGAGCAGACGGTGGTGCCATGTTTGTACAGCCTGCAGCCCCAGGAGCCAAATAAACTTTTCTTTTTAAATTACCCAGTCTCAGATATTCATTTAAGGCAACGCAAGAATGGCCTAACATAGGACATTATTATTATTAAATGAAATGTGCCAGACACAAAAGGACAAAAATCGTATGATTCCACTTATATGAAGTACCTGGAAGAGTCAAATTCATATAGAAAGTAGCAGTTGGGGAGAATAGGCAATGAAGAGTTACTGTTTAATGGGTAGAGTTTCAGACAGAGGATAAAAAAGTTTCAGAGACGGATAGCGGTGATGGCTGCACAATAATGAATAATGTGAATGTACTTTATGTCACTGAACTGTACACTTAAAAATGGTTAAAATGGTAAATTTGATGTTATGTGTATTTTTACACAATTGAAAAAAAATCACTGCAATGGAATACCACTACACACCTCTCAGAATGTCTGCAATTAAAGACTGAGAACATCAAATGCTGGTATTTGGAGAACTGGAGCTCTCATACACTGCTGATCAGAATGTAAAGTCGTATAATCATCTGGAAAATAATTTGGCAGTTCCCCTTATACATTTAAACATAAACTTACCAAGTGACCCAATAATTCCAATTTAAGGTACTTACCCTAGAAAAATGAAAACATGTTCACACAAAGACATGCATACAAAACAGTACCTTTATTCACAACAGCCTAAAACTGAAAACAATATAAATGTTCACCAGAAAATGAATAAACAAACTGTGGTATACCCACACTGTATTTAAAAAACAAAACCATGACAAACACAAATTGGATGAATCTCAAAAACATGCTAAGTGAAATAAACCAGACATGGAAGAGTATATGTTACCTGAGCAATTCTAGGGTAGGGAAAACTAATAAACAGATTAGTGGTTGCCCGGGGCAAAGAGAGAGAAATGACTACAAACAAGAAGGAACTTTTTGGAGGTAATTCAATTGTTCTAAAGCTTGATTGTAGTAGCAGTGATAGTGTATATATTTGTCAAAATCAATAAAACAGTACAGTTAAAATGGGTGCGTTTCATTGTATATCAATTATATCTCAATAAACTTGATTTTTTAATCAAAGTTTGTTTAAACTTAATATAGGAAAAGCTGGCATTTTAAGTGGAGAAAGGATGCCTTAAGTGGTCAAGACAATCACTACCCAAGTTCAAGATAATAAAAGATAGATACAATTCCCACACCATATGACAAAAGCAATCCAGATCTAAACTATATCATACCATATAGAAAAATATGCTGATTGTTCACCTCTAACTTTATAAAGTCTATAAAGTAAAATCATAAAAGTATCAGAAGAAAATATAAAAGACTGGTCAGGTATTCATGCCTGTAATCCCAGCACTCTGGGAGGCTGATGTGGGAGGATAGCTTGAGGCCAGAAGTTTGAGACCAGTCTGGGCAACACAGACACCTTCTCTACAAAAACAAACAAACAAACAAAAACCCAACTAGCTGTGGTGGCACATGCCTGTAATCTTAGCTACTTGGGAAGCTGAGGCAGGATGATCACTTGAGCCCAGGAGTTTGAGGTTGTAGGGAGCTACAACTGCTCCATACTGGGTGACAAAGCAAGATCCTATCTCTAAAAACTTTTTTTTTCTCCCATTTATTTATTTTATTGCATTTTAGGTTTGGGGGTACATGTGAAGTACATGCAAAATTGTTGCATAGGAACACACATGGCAGTGTGATTTGCTGCCTTCCTTCCCATCACCTACATCTGGCATTTCTCCCCTTGCTATCTCTCCCCAGCTTCCCACCCCCCACCGTCCCTCCCCTCTAAAAACTTTTTGTAATATATATATGAGATCATATTTATATCATCTTTGTTGGCATGCTGAAACCCAGAAGCCATAAAAGATGGATAGATTTGCTTACATAAAAACTTTAAATTTTCATGTGACTAGATACTATAAAATTAAAGGTAAATAATGAGATAATATTTGCAAATTATAATAAAGAAATAATACATAAAGAATGCTTACAAATTTAAAAAACAAAGAATACAATAGAAATGGACCAAAACAACCAGGCAATTGCACAGGCTATTTATAAAAATTTAAACAGATTTTATATATATATAAAACAAGGTAAATGAGCAGTCCCTAATATTGATTTAAGAAATGAAACTTGCTAAAATTATTTTTTAAAAGGTAATTGGCAGAATCTATCAAATTTTTAGATTGACACAGTCTAATGCCCTGAAATCTTATTTGTAGAAATCTACCTTACGGAAAAAATAACAAGTATCATCATCTGCAAAAGCAAAAATTGAAAACAACCTAATTTCCACAATAGGCAAAGAGTTTCATAATATATCATGAACTCTCAGAGTTAACTCCTAGTTCAGTTCTAAAGATTGAGAGAACACATCAGATTTATAGTATTCTATCTCAGTTTTCTTAAGGACAATTGTTCATTAAGGCTCAATTTATTATATCTTAAAATATGTTTTTTCTTCCTATCTCTTTTCTGTTGTTCCTCTTCTTCCCCTCCCAAGCTTATATGGTAAAATTACCCGTAGTCAAGTGGACATGTGAAATGATGCATAGACTTAATACAGTAATTTAAGAGAATTATCCAACTCCATTCTCTCAGTTGCTCTGGTCAAAAAACTTGGGCATCATTTTTTACTCCTCCCTTTATTTCCCACTTCCATCTCGTCTACCACCAAATCCTATTGACTCTACTTCAACATATATCAAGAATTCAACCACTTCTCACCACCCTCATTATGACCTCTCTGTCCATTTCAGTCATCTCTTAATCTGTACTACTAGTCTACAGTAGTAGTCTACAACTGGTCTGCTGATTCCGCCTGTCTCCTCCTTTTCAGTCTATGCTCAACACAGCAGCCAGAGTGATCTTGCTAA